GGTACACATGTTACATGTATATATGTTGTAAATGATCATAATGAAAAAGTAGACTCACATCAACAAATGTTGCCATGCCAAGGTACACATGTTATATATGTTGTAAATGATCATAATGAAAAAGTAGACTCACATCAACAAATGTTGCCATGCCAAGGTACACATGTTATATATGTTGTAAATGATCATAATGAAAAAGTAGACTCACATCAACAAATGTTGCCATGCCAAGGTACACATGTTATATATGTTGTAAATGATCATAATGAAAAAGTAGACTCACATCAACAAATGTTACAGTGCCAAGGTACACATGTTACATGTATATATGTTGTAAATGATCATAATGAAAAAGTAGACTCACATCAACAAATGTTACCGTGCCAAGGTACACATGTTATATATGTTGTAAATGATCATAATAAAAAAGTAGACTCACATCAACAAATGTTACAGTGCCAAGGTACACATGTTACATGTATATATGTTGTAAATGATCATAATGAAAAAGTAGACTCACATCAACAAATGTTGCCATGCCAAGTTACACATGTTATATATGTTGCTCGGCATTATAGAAGAATTTTTTAATAAATAGAGTCAAACAAAGAAATTTTAATATAAGCATTAGTAGCCTTTGGTGCAGTTATAAATCTTTGTATCAAAACAGGTTTTAATATTTTGAAGATAAGCTATATTTATTGATGCTTGTCAGACTACTCTAATTAATATATAGTATTTCCACATATTTTGTCTCATATACAATTATTGCTATTTCAGGGGAATTGTTATGTTGCGAGTTGGAAACATTGGTGTTCGGTGCACTGCAACTCAGCACGTTTGGAACGTTCAAAATCTGCGCACAAATGCCATCAATTCATGAACCGAGGAACTACTAATACCATTTCTTTGAAAGAAAAAATATCTTATAGTTTCAACATATACAATAAAGTAGCTTTGTAACTATCCCTTCGTTATGCGGTTTATCGTCACATCAATCTGTGATAATTTTATGCCTGTGGTTGGTAGGCAACAGTAACGCTGATTGGCTGAAAATATAGCATGCTGCTAATAAAAATAATTAATTAATTTTTTTTACCTAGTAAGTACATTTTATCTATGTGCAATCAACTATCAATAGATAGTTGCCATGACAGCACAAGTGTGACAGCTCCATTATTCAGACGATGTGTGACTTTTTAAGTTAGTATTTTGTCACGAGGACAGACGGAATCTCCAAAATGCAAAACAATCTATTTATTGGTTATTTTTATGTTATTTCATTTTTAAATATGTATTTAACTTTTATTTTTACCATATACTTTATTTTTTTGATTATTATCTGGAAATTATATAAAGTTTGATAATCTCAAACACCATAACTAAGATCTAATTTTAAACAGATTGATTTTATTTGTTCCATACTTACTTTTCTTTTATCCATGCTCGACTTTTGGTTTCATCCACGAATTGCACATGAATTTTTCCTCCTTTGAAAAAGACATTTTGGGTTGGATGGCTACAAACTAATCCAGGCCACCATGGATATCCATCTAATTTTGTCCAAACAATATCACCAATTTTATGTTTACAAGCTGCAAAATAAAACAATATGGTAGTGATTCCTCAGGAATGAATGATGTAATATTTGTACTATTATATTATACCAATTTCATTTCAAATATAATTCTGAGATATAAAAATTAATTTTAAATCACCAAAAATCATGTTGAAATGTAATACAGCATCCGAAACATTCTACTCGTAACCATGGTTAAATAAATAGGCCCTGGAACTAGCATACATCAATTACATTGAGGAGTAATGTCAATTTGGAGTTGCAAGGTTTATTCATGTCATTTTTTTTATTAACGACAATGTTAATATTTAAAACTGTGTCTACATAATTACCAAAAATACAGATTAAAAATGTGATTTTCCGTACACTGCAAGATCTTGCATAATGCATGAAATATACTGATCGAACGTCTGCCACAGAAATCAAATTATTTGAACGCGGTATGGCATTGAAATTAAGCCTGGAAATACTCCAAAAATAGTTTTTTGTTGTTGAATGCAATGCAATGTTTTGACAGCACTGCAACCTTTGTTTGTCCTGCTTTTATTTTGGATTTCATGCATAACGCAGGATCTAGCAGTGCATGCATGGTAATGATCTATTAAATTTCGAGGGTTGACAAAACTTTTAGGTTGAAGAGGCTCATACCACTAATTGAAACTCCATAGACGACAATGTTAACATATGAAAAGATTGCTATATGAAAATGATGAACAAACTTAAAAACATGGCTCAAAAATGGGAAATCAACATGCCAGTAATCAACCACATAAAAAAAACTAACATGTTGGCTAGCTCAAACTCTTGCAAATCTCAGGAAAACAAGATACACCTACTGTATTTGGATTGCATCTAGAGAAATCACTGGAAAAACACCAAGATTAGAACATCCAAATACACACAGAATAAACCCACAGGTACACAGCTGGTAAGTAGTAAACAAAAGACCACATGTTGGTCTCACCTTTGACCCAGGTGATCATGCCCTCAAACAGGGAACACCTAAGAACACCTAAAAAATTTCATTGGTTCTTGGAAGGCATTTAAATTGAGGACTACGAGCAGCCATTGGTTGATTAGTGGCATGATACCTAAATATGGCAACTATTTCATTGGCGTTGTTTACATAATTCTGAAAAATTAATTTACATACTTGTGTATACCAGAGTGTGGCAATGCATTATGCTATATGTTAACATACAGTACAGTTCTTGCGAAAGCTTTGGCTTTTGTGGCATCATTGTCGCCTCAGCATCGCATCATTGTGGCATCAGCTTCACGTCATTGAAAATTGAAGCTGTGCTCGCCTCGCCTCCTGGTGCGTCGGCGTTGTCGCCAGTCATCTTGATACAAAGTTTCAAAACAAGTGTGTACATTTCCAACTATGATTGGATGGTTGTGGTGGCATCGGTCGGGTAAAATTTGACATCCGTCCAATTTTCAAAATTAAGTCACGATCAGTGACCTGAAAATGATCTATACATACTTTATTCTCACAAAAATTATTTTCGAATAATAACAAGCCACATGCCCTGTAAAAAATCGAATAGCGCTTGACATGCAGAAATAATTTATTGGGCTTCAGAAAAAAACGTGTCCATTTAGTTGTAGCCGTAAATATTTGGTGACCAGCAGATGAACAATTTGAAAATCATGATTCACACTGAAGTTCTTCGATACTGAATATCATCGACCCCAATCTGGTTTACCTTATTTCCTGCAAAACTGATTTGTATCTCAGCCCTGTTTTTCTTTTCTTTTTTTGAACTGAGCACTGAGGTCAAATCCCATTCGTTTGTCAAAATATACCGATGTTTTTCAGTGAATAATTGTGAAGCCTGTCACAGCACAAAAAAACTAAGTGAATCAACGCCGGAGATTGGATGGTACGACTACCCTTCAATTTGCATCAAATATGCTTTATTACAACATCATTGATTGGCTGAAAGTCACCTGATCGGGGCACGACCTGGGTCACAGAACCATATTTGTCCGTATTATCAACAGGACTTTGCGAGAGAGCCACACCCACATTTTCATCCATTTTTAGCACGGAAGTTGCCAACAAATGTTGAAAAACTCATGAATTTTATGGATTTGAATAAAATAAAGCTAGCGATTGGTAAGACTGGTTGATAATATATCCCCCGATGCTCTTCGAATTTTTTTTATTTCAAGGTGAGAAATGGATAGTTGAAATTCAATCGATTTCAAGGCGACTGTTCCACCGCGATAACTTTTTGCACTGTTGTAATTTCATGAGGTAAAAAAAATATATAATAAATAGTACTTGTTTCATTATTTGGTTTTACAGCCCGCAAATTATGGAACATGATCCCCATGAATTACGATAAATAAATGCTGATTTAGTTGAATGATGGACGTCGGGACCGTTTGGAGAAACCAACAGGGATCGATATTCCAAACAAATTATTGGGACACGGTCAGTAGACATTTCAAACAAATGAAATTATTAATGAAAGACGAGATTTTTCTAGATATTTACGAATATACTGTCATACCAAATATATGCAAAAATGGCAAATACACAAAGAGGTGTAATATTAGGTTTTATTTTAACTATAGAAATATTTTCTTTCACTCTCGCCATTCATAGGACTTCTATTTAGCTTCATGGTCTTTCAGCTTGTCTTCTCCTTGGGGGAAATAACAATAATTCTACAAATTGTAAGCTCAACACAGTCAGGAAAGGAAACCCAGACAACCATGTCGTAATTCTGTTGAAATACATTTTGTAGCAGTTCGTCACGCCAGAATATTGTCTAAAATAAAATATTCAATCCCAGCCAAATCTAGGTCAAAGGGTCAGATTGCGTGCATATAATTATAGATAGTTGAAACATACTGGTGAACTTTTGACAATTGTTCAACATCTATGCACGGTTACTAAACTAGTAACCGTGATCTATGAAAACCAGAAAATTTTTAGTAGTCCGAATTTGTGCACGATCGAAAATAAAGCGGAAATTGTCTGGTTAAATTCAACAAGCGGTCGCAAAAGCGAGCGATTGAAAAGCGGAAGCGGGCGAGAGGTTGGGCGAAATGAGTAATGTACTTCTTTGTTTGATGAAGCGATGCTGATGCCACATTGTTAACATAATGAGGCCACAATGAAGCGAAGCGATAACCGCCTAACTTTTTAATATCGCGACATTAATGCGACAATGAAGCTATAACAAAGCCATAACAATGCGATGCTGAAGCGAAGCTGACGCTGAAGTGAAGCCAAAGCTTTCACGAGAAATGTACAGTACATGTAGATTCTTTGCAGCTCTGTACATCTATGCTCCAAGTTGGAAGATTTCAGCACGGATGTACGGAATATTGTCAGTAATTATTATCTCATTTTTGCAAAATTTATTTTCTATATTCTTGATATGTTTAATTCTGTAAGTTATGTTGTCCTGAATGCACTACATATATATCATGGTTAACACTGGAATTGTTTGAATTTCCTAGTAGGCATTTAATTTAGATTTTAAAATACTTTTCTGACACCATATACCAACAGTTTTGAAAAAGAGACTTTCACGTGACTTTAATGTTAGTCGCTACATGCATTCCTTACTGACATTGACAACAACAACAAAATCCAAGCTCGTTTACCCGGGACTATACCCAGTCCAACAGATATGTAAATGTGACAACGACAAATGAATGAACAGCAAGACAGTCATTTTAAATCCATGGACGTACTGCCACGTTAGTTTAAACCAAACTCATCTAACATCCAGAATAAAGCCAATTGTTTGAGTGAAACTCCAGAAAATCAGCTTCCAAATAGCCTGACACATCTTTCAGACATTAAATCTCTTTCCAAATAAATGTTGTAGTAGTTTACGTGTCGTACTCAATCTGTGTTTATTTGTACCGGTGTTTACAATTGTACTGACCGGATACCATCTTGTGCCGGAATCTCACCTGGTTGACCTCTCGTTTGATTCGCTGCCTCTCCAGGAGAACTATTCTTCGATTTTCCATTTGGCAGGTCACCTAAAGTAGGCGATGTTTCAGTCTTCGATGCTGGCGGAGACTTTGTGAAATATGAAAACAGGGTATTCATTTTAGACATGTTGACTAACTCTTCACGATTTCGCGGGAATTTTCAGATTGTCAGAGCAGTGAGCATGCGCATACGCTTGTGTGTGTACGGGGTCAAGGGTTATATAGAACGATTTCGCTTCTTTTGTTTTTATGGTGGACTTGAAGTGAATTTATGCATGGACGTACTCTAGTACATATTACGTACTAGTAGTACGTCCATGATTTATGTGTTTCAACGCAGTCCACGCCCTAAATCAATGAATTCGACTTCTACTGGCACAACTGTATGTACAAAACAAGCATTTTTACGTATTTTACGCTTGTTCATTAAAGAAATTGTGATAAAATAGAGAAATTAGCGTGACGGTGATTAAAGCGGGAGGGTCGTCACCTGCGCACGCGCGGGAATTGAGTTCCAAGCGACGATAGCAACACACGCTAAAAACGCAAAAGCTCATGGGTAAACGCTTATTTGTAAATGTCATTAGACACGCTGTGGCCATCTGGCGCATGCGCAGATGACGACTCCGCCGCTTTAAATCATAGACTTTTCCTTTTAAGGGCATCAAGGCAAACTGTAACTTACAGGCAATTCGAGTTTTTACAGTACTTTGCATTATATATTTTGAAAGGTTTTCTCCATTGTGTCAGAATATGATAATTCTCGCTGAAACTCATCGTCGTACGTGGTCTTATCGTCGGTAGAGTTATCTTCTATTAACCTACTTGGTTACAACAATGCCAAGTGTAATCAACCGGTAAAGTTTGCCATAGTGAACACAAATCGACGGATCACATTAAAACCATAGAATGTGTTTGTGCATACTAGGGTTAACAATGCTCTTTGGTGCGAATGTGATTATTATGAGAAAATGTTTGTTTCTCACCCACGTGGTGTGATAAAGGGCACAGTCGTAAAATGGCTTTATAATCGAAAGGTTATTCTGGTTCCAGCTTGCTTAAATACAACAAACTTGAATACAATGCTACAAATAATCTAAAACAGTTCTAAAATGTTTAAAAAAGCTATGCCAAATAATGAATAATTGTATGATCAACACTGCTCAAAATTTGAAGATTAATAAATAAACAACTTAGTGATGCCTTGGTAAATATTACTACCTTATACTAAAATATGTTTGGATATTTAGAGTAGTAACAAATTCTCATTTCCTGTCCGGTTAGACTTAAAATATACCACGAATATTATTTACATTTGAGATATAATTTTTGGTATGTGTTGGTACTTGGATATTTCAGCTTTGTCGTCCTGTACTTGGTTTAGTAATTCGGACTTCCCAAATTGCTTAAAAACGGATAGTTTCGCGATTATGACACCGAAAATGCTTGGGCTTAAATATTTGCTGAGGAACGGCCGATTTGGAATGTTCACTCTAACTTGCAGCACATGAACATAAAAGCTTTAGGCAATCAAACACAAAATTACCTAAAATTACTTTGTTATGAAGTAAATAAAGTACGTTAAAAGTTTTCACTTTTTCATAGCATAAAAACGGTTTTCACCCTAGCTTATTACACCCTCAAAAGCGAGTCATTTCCATTCCCCTCAGAGGTAAACAATGGTTTAGTCCCCTATTTTACGATACAACTCGAAACAGTCTTTTATGCTTCGCGTGTTTATTTGCCTTGAACGTTAAAAACGTTTTTGGAGTCCCTCAAATTTGTTTTTGACCTTTGTCACCTATTCCCCCCAGGTTGAATTACAGCACTATTATTTGTTGCCCAGGAATCTATAATCGAATAATACAAACGGTAGTCTGTAATACAACTGAATTCACGTCTATAAAGGTGTCTGTCATTTTGGGCCTCATTGGTCACTGCATGCGTTTCCCAGAATCGATTGGGTTGCAATTAACGTAACTATCGGCGAGGTAAATAGTCTCTCACCCCTTGGTTATTATCACAGTTTTTTCGTAATTAACGTCATCAATTTTAGTTCCCGGGCGTCTCTGATAAACAACATATTTAACAGCTGGGTTGAATTGACGATATCACCAAAAATCATGGGAGATTGAACTTCTTTCGCTCGGAAACGCGAGGGTGATAGACTCGATTTTCAAAGACGCAGATCGTTTGGATCGGACGGGTCCTTTGTTTCAAGTTCGTTGTTGTGTTGTTGTTTTAGGTGAATATAGAACATGTTCTGTTGCAATAACAGATTTTGATATGCCAGTCAAACAATTGTAATAATTCCTTGCTGGAACGTATCCAAAATTTGACAATGACACTAGCCCAAAATGGACGTCCTGTTCAACGCATCTTTGATTGTAACAATAATGTTCACGTCGCTGTACGTCAAAACACACTCTCTAACTCGACAACATTCACCACAGGCGCTCGGAATGTTTCTTGGCATCTTCGCAAGCCAAGGTCTAAATTTATTTGGTCAAGCCTATCGTGTAGAGGCCTGTAGGTCGAAGACACGGGACCATGCGATTCGGATGATGGTTTCTTGGATAATAAATAATAGTATTATATTAGTGGTAGGGGAATGTACCGGCGACTGACTTACTATGCCGACTCTACTTTAGGTCATTTATTTATTATCCAAGAAACGTTCCGAGCGCCTGTGCATTCACTCCCGCACCACTATGCAAATAGTGGAAATACCAGTTACATCACTCATGAAGATTGGTCACTCGATTGCTATTTAGCGTTCATTTCTATGTAATTGTGATTCTCAATTTCTATGTGTAAAATCATATCGCTGGTGTGGATGGCGACGGCTGACACATTGTTTTGGTTCTGTGGCTCTCTCGGCACTTTTAGCTTTCTTTTTTACTATTCAGACGGTTTCTTGGTCACATTTTGTACATACCAGTCAGACACTGACGAGTAAATAAACGGTCCGGGACATGGTAGTCAACATGGAGGGTTGCAAGGGGGTATTTTTGTGAGCTGTAATAAATTATTTTTATTTTCACATAAATAATAACAAACGTAAATTCGTAGACATGGGCAAGGTGTAAAATGTAATCAGCTATTTTATTCGTCCGTAATTTGGAATTCGCTTTATCTGTAAAGTGTAAAACCTATTTTTTTAACTGTAAATGGAACTTTTAAATGGAATTTTATTTCCAGCTACTCCTCGCCCCCTCAATATGGGACTCTGAATAACAGGTAGGCCCGGAATATAGGGTCATCATACAATATTGATAAACGAATTTCAAATCACAATCTTATGCTTCCGAACAATCTGATATTTATAATGCATAATCATGGCAATGACTAATAATGATTTCTTTGTCAAGGTAATCTAATAAATTTCTTAATTAATATTTCGTGTGTATTTTGTGAGTGTACCTGTATGTATTAAAATATATACACATATATTATTGGCCAAGTCAGTTTATAAGATTGTGAACAAATGTTAACCTTTGACCTCAAAGTGTGACTGGTTCTGTGCACTTTAACTAACAATTCATAATCAAGAGTAAATTATATAATTTGTTGATTGTAGTGTTGCAGTCATTTATTCAATAGTACGAGAATGTATCTGTGTGTATTATTGGGTATTCTTGCCATTTCTGTGGTTCATGCAGATTTAGGAACGTTGAGACCACACATATTGTTCATCTCAACTGATGCCCTTGGCTGGCATAATGTTGGGTTCCACGATTCCGAAATACAAGCACCAAACATTGACAGGTTGGCCGCAAAAGGAGTTAAACTCGAGAACTACTTCGTCACACCCTTGTGTACACCATCGAAAACAGTTTTGATGACTGGCCAATATCTGGTAAGTCTAAATTTAGTGGTGCGTACCAGTCAAGCACGACTGTAAAACGAAATAAACCAACTGCAATGCACGTACATTTCTAACAACTATTTATTCACTACAACAACAACAAAAATGGCATGCTTAATTACTGTTTCAGGTAAAGTGTTTAATTTTGCGTTGTTGTACTAATCTAATAGCTGCAGAGACACAATCATATGTGTTTTATTTATGTAACCGTCTTGACTCTTGAAGATGGAGGAGATATTGGGAGTTAACGATACTCAAAGACATTATATATCGGCATGATTTATCCTGAATAGATAATAAACAAATAACCATTCATTGTTTAACTGTTATATACTACTACACGAATTATGATATACATTCAGTAGTTTTGTATCAAGAACACGCGTGGATACATTCTGTATGTACTCTTGCAATTTAAGGACAAATTTGGGATAACACGACACACCGACTTTATGATTTTATATACTCACTGTTACATTGAATATTATATTCCCTCAACGAGTGGCACCTGCAAGACCCCCTAACATAACTTGATCTCTATATTATTGTGAAAAAAAGCATTAGTTTACTGGCGTGTTTGTTTAGTTAACTTACATGAGCCATACATGACAGTTATATAGACCCGCTATGACAAGGATGCAAATCATCAAGAAGGGCCACATGGATTGGGCACCCTTATTTTGACATTTGCGTATCAGCTGCTATTAGAATTGGAAGCTGGAAATTACTTACAAGTCATACAGGTAAGAAACATTCCTATGTTAGATGTAACTAACCACAGGTAAATGCCAACATTTAACAGGTACGTACGAAAGCCGAGAGGGGCCTTCCTACTTCACAGTTCCAACTTCCGAGTTCCGACTTCTAACTTCCGAGTTCCGACTTCTAACTTCCGATTTCCGACTTCTAACTTCCGAGTTATTATTGTTTGAAACCGCAGGAGCAAAAAGTACCGTCATCTGTAGTGATGAAACTACATAGTAGTCTATCATTTGTGCACAGAATTGTTTTGCATACAGGTTATGGGGTGAGATCAGCGCTAAAATTACTTTTATTTTTTATAATGCATTGATATATTCCTAGAGGCCTGCAATGAGAAGCACGGAGTGGCAAATCTGAAGTCTGAAGAGAGAACTCTCAAGTTCGAATTCAGAAGTGAGAAGTGGAAATGTGAAGTCGGAAGTGAGAAGTCGGAAATTGGAAGTAAGAATTTGGAAGTGATATATCTATATATATAGTCTTGGTATATATATACATAAATATATAAGTTAAAGCATAAAATCTGAGATTTCGGGGAA